TGGAGCAGTGATAAATGATTTATCCAGATCCTCCTAGAGAGTAAAACCAGGGCTGGTGCATATATTCTGTTAGCTGATTCTCACAAGCTGCTTCAGTTGCAAGAGCAAATAATAGGATTTCTGGCACGAGCTTCCAAGTGCACAAATCTTTGAAAAATACCGCCGAGCCATCCCATACATTCTCCAGCACCAAAGAAATTCAAGCAGAAGAAACCCGGGGGATTCTCCCTGCAATTTACAGCACTGTCCTCTAGAAATGGGTAAGTCGTGCTGAATTTGGGTAACGAAAGCAGTTTCCTCACACTGGTGGGCAGGTGCTGGGTGCGAGGCGCGTGCTGCGTTCTGGGCTGAAATCAAGGTTATTCTGTACTTCCCCAGTAAGAGCCGTTTACACAGTGGTGAAACGGAGACGCTGCCAACAATGATAACTTCGTGATTTTGGCTCAAGCAATGTAAACGTCTTTTTCTTGGGAATATCAACTAGAAGATTATTGTGTTTCTGGTGAATAGTCAGGCAATTCTTGCATTCTGTGGTATCCTACTCTGCTCTCTAGATTCGTTAATGTTTTGCAGACCACTCTTCACTCGAAGTTCTTAGAAATAAGAATGGAGACACACTGACCCACGACCTGTCTATGTGTGTTCTGCTTTATCTCACACAGAGATTTTGCCTTCACTATTCATCTCCTAGTGATTAATATATAAACTAAAATTAAAAAAAAAACAAACTTGTGTTTAAGAAAAAGGCACTTTGTGGGGTGGGAGGCAGCTGGGCTGCTCTCACGTTAGTTTTTCTGCTTGGGCTAAAAGCATCTATGAAAGATGCTGCTTGGCCAATGCAGGAGGAATTTTGGAGGACACAACCTCTCTCTGTAAGCCTACAGGTGGTTGCACCCACAGCTTAAGGAATATCTTCTACCAAACCAGACAAGCTGCTGAATTGGCTGCTGAAACCAGTATTTTTCTTTCCCCTAACAGGGAGATGTCTCTTAAACCAGCTGCACTCCCTTCTGTTAAGGGCATTTAATCAAAATGTTGATTATGTTTTGTTGATAATGATGCTTAATTACGATTTGTGTGTGTGTATTGATATAAATATATATATCTTAAAGCCCGTTGAGCTACTTCTCCCATTGCACAGCGCGATAGTCTGCGAAAGTGTAAGGAAACTAGGGCTCTGTTGCCCTCCATCACCTCGCTCCCTGCCCCGTGCCAGGGCAGATTTCCAAGCAGGATTCTGCCTTTCGGAGCCCAACGGAGCTGGGGGGGGCTGAAGGGCCCTGTCCCTTGTCCCCTCTGCTGACGGGGACACYACCCTGCTCCCCTGTTGCTCCATTCATCCATCCCCTGCGTGCAGCCGGGCACGGAGAGGGATTTCACCACGTTTCCTGGAGCTCCCTTGGTGTCAAATGCCCACAAGGCAAATTGCACCTGGGAAACCTAAGTCTTGTTCCGGGTGGAAGTGGATGAGCCCCAAAGTGTCTGGGTGTAGCAGAGCCGAGGAGGGGGGGGAGCARGCTCCCCGTGTCCCCAGGTCCCCGCTGCCCGACGCTGCTGGGAGGGGTGGGATTTTTCTGCCCTCCCCAGCTCTGTTTTTGCAGCTGCAGGCTGGGAACCTGGGTCAGAACAGACTTCCTTGGAATGAGGCACGTAGCGACGCCCCGTTTTGGTGAGAAGGAGCCTGCTGGAGCTTGCAAGGTCCCAGAGGAAGCCGGGTCCAAAATAACCCATGCCAGAAATACTGGAACGTTTTGCTTGCAGGCACTAGTTTTATTTTCCCCCCGTTGCAAAAGCAGCAGCTGGGGGTGCCGGGGGCCGCCCCGCTCGGTCTGCCGTGTCCCCCGGCACCGCGCAGCAGGCGCCCGCCCGCGCTCGCGCGCTAGCGGGCAGCACCCCGGCCCACGTCACCCGTGGCCGCCCCACACACCCTTCCGTGGGCGGCAAAACCCGCGCGCAGCCCCCGTGCCGAGCCGGGTGCGCTCTCCACCCCGCTGCCGCGTGTGCAGCCCACGCTCGGCGCGCTCACGGCCGCTGCGAAGCTGCTCCCCGGCCGCTGCGAAGCTGCTCTCCCGCGGTGCCACCCCTCCCGCCTGCCCGGACAGTCCCGCGGCGTTATGGTAAGCACTCAAGTCGTTATCTCCATTTAGCGGCCGCTCTCTGCTGCATAAATTGGGGGGAACCTGCTTTGCTTTATGCCTTTATTTTGTTCTCAAAACTCAACTGCTTAGGTGCAACACAAACTAGCGAGCTCTGGAGCCCTGCATTGCCACGTGAGTGAAAGTTTTGGGGTATCCTTGTTCTTTGCAGAGATGTTCCTGCAATAGCTTTGGCTGCCGCTGCCCCGGGCGCCGGCAGGGATACCTGAGCAGCAGCTCTGCAGGTGCCCGTGGCTCCGCTCCTTGTCTTTGCACTGTTGTTTTGTGTCCCAGTCCCTGGAAGCCACATCCTGAGGGTTTTTCCCTACCCCAGATATTTTCTTTATACTGCGCTTCTTCCTTTTATAGAGGTAGATTTATTCAGCTTCTAGTGTCTAGCAGAAGCCAGGCTTGTCCTAAAGTTCAGTGCTGTCTTGCCAGCTAGAAATGCCACCCAAGCGTGTCCAAGGGCACCTGTCCCTACCATGGGCTTTCTCCATCGGATGAAGCACATTGCTGGAGCCAGGGGCAATTTTCCTTTTGCCTCCCTCAGCCCTGGGGCCAAACCCCTCTCTTTTAGCAACCCACTAAAGCAAAGAGCATTTGAGTACCAGCCGTGGCAGTGACCAACCCCAGGTCCTCCCCTGCTCCTGCTTTGCCGGCTCCGTACGGGATGCTCCGGCACAACAGAGCCTCCCTCTGCTTCCCTCCGCGCGCTCCTGCCAAGAGCGGCTGGATGGAGTTTAAAGGGAAGGGAAAGCAGCCGTGCAGGGCAGAGCTGCAGGAGCTCCTGGAGGAGCCGTGCCCAGCAGACAGGAGGGAAGAGCCAGCATGCGGGAGCCCCAGCGGGATCGACTTCCCGGGGAAATTCCTGGGAAGCGGAAAGCATCATCCTGTGGTGCAGGAACTACCGGGAAAGGGCCGGGGTWTCCCCTTGCTCCAGCTGCCGGGGTCCTGGGCAACGTCCAAGCCTTCGTGCCGGGCTCGGAGCAGATGTGCTCATCCATATCCACTTGTCCCATCCGGAGTGGTGACCTTTGAAATTGCATCTCGTGGAATGGGAAGATTACCACCCCCCCCCATACATCCAAGTTGCGTTGAGAAGCTGTGAGCCCATGTTTGCAAGGGTGGATGTTGGGACARGGGTGGCTCTTGTGACAAGGGTTGGCACAGCCAGAGCTCCGTGCTCTCCCCAGTGCTCCCGCCCTGCCTGGGCACCAGCCAAGCCACCGCACGAATGGGTCCTGTCCTTGCAGGCATCAGCCTCTCTTTATTTATTTATTTTTTTCCTTCTGCATCCATGCCGATTTTCTCAGGAACTGACACAGTTCCAGCGCTCTGGACCTTGTACTTACCCTAGGGCACATGGAAACGAGCAGCGCTTGGACACAGCTGATTGCAATCAAGGGGACAGGGGCAGGACGCCCGCAGGGGTGGCCAAGTCGCCTACATGTCAGGGCAGGGGCAGCCACTGCCGCACGGATCTGACCAGCGCATCCTTTGCTCCTGTGCCAAGTTTACTTTATTTTTACCTTTTTTTGCAGGCAGGGTAGCTTTGGTACCAACGTGGCCCCAAGGCCGGYGTGTTTCCCACCTTGTGCTTTCCATCCCCTTGTGCTGGGTAACGCTCTCATGCTGATAGAGCCCTGCTGTTCCATGCTGCAAGCTCACACCAGTCCTTGCTGCTCCATGGAAATTCTTCACAGCAAAGCAGGAAAAAATCCTGTTATTGCTCCCACGGCTGGGGACCACCTAGGGGAATGCGATATTTGCTTAAATTGACACTAAGCTGTTCAGGTTGCTGGGTGGCATCCCGCAGACCCCCAGTTTCCTATTGCCTGTTGTCACCACTGCTGTGTCTGGACTTTGTGCAGGGGCAGGTTCCTCTCGAGCATTCATGCCAGCGTGYAGCCTAAAGGGCTGTTTTAATAACCAACGCTGTGTGGACTGTTTAATACTGAGTTTACAACCTGCGATAACCTCAGGGGTGCATTGCATAGGCTCAGGTAGAGGTTGCCATCTTCTTGCATGAGCAGAGCTTAAGCATCAGCCTTAAGCTATCAGAGTCATGAAATATATATATATATATATATATAAAATATATATATATATATATAAAATGTATTTATTTACTTATGTGTTTCTATATATCTATAGTCCCCTATATTCATTCCTCCCTCTGATGCAAGTGTATTTTTTGGCTCTGGGGAACAATGAGGCTGCTGAATCCCCGGCCAACTGCAGCAGGACAAGTGCGTGGGAGAGCCCAAAGCCAAAAGCACTGTCTAGAACTGAGCAAAATGCATCTGTTTCTTGGCTAAGACGAGGCCTAGGCATGTTCTTTTAGTATTTTCTGGGGAAAATGCCACTGGTCACAGGCACTTCCTATGAGGGGCTCCGCTGGCAGACGGACACTCACCCGGGCACGTCACCCTTTCTGGAGAAGCCTCACTGCAGGCTGCAGCACAGCCTGACTTTCCTTTGGAGAATGTGCTTAGCTGGCCAGAAACTAGCGCAAATGAGGCCAAAGTTGTCTGTGTGTCACCAGCAAAAAAAAAAAAAAAACACCCCATCAAAAACCCACGCCGGCATCCTCTGGGAAATGATTAATCGGTTTGGGTAAACGAGCAGCACTCAAGAGCGGCTGCTGGTGGAGCTCAGCCTGCAGAGGCGCCTCCGGGGCTCTACGTGTGTGTCCGTGGGTGCTTAAAACCGTCTCCTTTGTGCCTCGTTCCTGCAGCGTCCCCGTGCCTGACGTCCTKCAGCGTCCCCGTGCCTGACGCGGCGCGCCGCTCCTCGGCTCTCGCCATGGCCGGCGCCTGGGCCGTGCTGCTGCTGTGGGCCTGCTCCTGGGCACCGGCATCCTCCTCCTCCTCCTCCTCCTCCTACCACACATCAGGTAAAGCTGCAGCCGCCGGGGACCATTGCTTGTTGTGGCACGTGGGAGCGCGCGGATGGAGCGCACGGATGGAGCGCGTGGATGGAGCGCACGCGGGAGCGCACGGATGGAGCCCATTTCCAGCAGCAGCATCCACGACGCTGCGGGTGCTGGTGGCTCCAAGCTCCGCAGGTTCATTCCTGCTCCTGGATGCTCCTGGTTTATCCAGGCACTGAGCTCGGGTCTGTTGGCTCGCGGCAGGGCTTGCTCCGACCGCGGCGAGCGCTTGGGTGCTGGGTGCTGTGGAGCTGAATGCGCCCTAATGAACGCTGCTAAATAGAAACTGTTAACTAAGCAGAAACAGCAGGTCCCTTCACGGCCCCCGYTGTGGCTCACTGCAATGCAAAGGAGGTGGAGAAGGGATTTTTTTGGGGGGGAATGCTCAGGAATAGCTTGCTGTCAAGACCGGGTAACAGGGCATGTCTAGTGCGAGTGATCTGAGCGATAGTGTCTTGGCGCAGAATAGCTTAGGAATGAGAACTGTGACTCTCCTAGCYACTCTGGACTGGAGTTTGGGACCTTTTTCCATAGCTCTATGGCTCAATGTTCATCCCGGGAGGACATTTCTGACCTCCTGGGCAGCAATCCCACATCAGCATTCCCACTCACGCTGCATCCCGGACATGAGGAACCCCCTTGGCAGGAGGAAAGTGCCTTATTGGTAACATGGGAAATACCGAAAAGCTCATTTTTTCCCTCCAAACAACTCTAGTCTGCTGCTCCCAGCACCAGCACCACCCAAAGCACACTCATGAATCCCAAATGTGCCATCTAGCACCACAGCAGACCATCCATGGAGCTTGCCCTGTCCCAAAACTCTGGATTATAGCACTGCAGCCTATGGGGTGCTGTATCTGGGAGGGCTTCTTCAGGAAAAATAAATCTTGCCCTGGATTCCTGCAAAGTCTCCGAGGAGCCCATTAAAATTTGATTTATGTAGTTGTCTCCCACTGCGAGGTATTCTCAGGGTCTGCTTTCACAAGGGCTTTGCAAAAGCAAAAAAAAAGGGGGAGGAAAACGGATGTAAATCTTRACCGGGACACAGAAATGGAGCCGGGAAGGCTGTGCCCTTTGCAGGGGACAGCACTGGATGGACACAGCCAGGATGGCGGCTTTGGATCATGACAATAAAACTGTATCCTCGCATGGAGACTATGCAGAAATCCAGCTGGAGAACTTCGCCTCTAGATCCTGCATGCGGAGAAAAAATGACCCGAGATGTTATAAAAAATTGGCTTCATTTGAGCTAATAAAGCTGAATAACCTCGATAGCTTTATGTCATGTGAAAGGAATTCTCAAAAACGAGATGAGCTTTTAAGGAGTATATCATCATCTTAGCAAGAAAACCGTCCAAAAGAAACTCCGCTTTATTAACATATGGCAGCATCTTACAATTTTAATAAAAGCCAGGCTGTCTATAAAGGCACATTTTTTACAGTTGATAGAAGTTGYCCAAAATAAGAATAACTCGGTTCCAACTTTTTGCTTCTCTGCTTCTGCATTTTTTTCTTTTTGTCTTCTTTCTCATAAACCTCTAATATTCTTGAAAACAATAGTCAAAGCACAATGGGGGTGAGGCAYGGCTATAGCCCCAGCTATACATCCCTGCTGCTGCATGATGTGTTCTGCYGGGCAAGCCTGTCCCAAGCGCCACGGCCAGGTCTGCAGGGGCACGTGTGGGTAAATGCCCCTAGATAAAAGCGAGGCCATGCAGGGTCATTTCAGGAGAGCAGTTTTGCATTGCAAAATAATGAACTGGTGGCTCTCCCGGCGCTTCGTTAGCTGCACGGGGGCTGATCCTAGGCGTCTTGGCAGGATTTGGGCTTGCTGGAGCTTGCCGGAGATCCTGCTCACATCTGCTGCACAAGGTGCTATTAAATGTTCATGGCTGGAACCAAATCCCTCCCCAGCAGCTGCATTTGCCCGATGATGAAATTTCGGGTTATTTCTGTGTTTGTTGTCCTTACGTCAACATCTGTTTTAAGCCCCTGCCTTGTTCTCCCTCCAGTTGCTCCCCCCCGAGCCCTGCGGATTTCGGACCCGGGGCTCTTGGGCTCCCTGGATGTGGAGTGGGAGCCGCCGTTCCACGCACAGCCCTTCAACGAGTGCACGCTCAGGTACAAGTTTGAGTACCGCAACGCAGGCGACAGGGACTGGAAGGTGAGGTTGAAACCGCCCTGAACGTGCCYGTTCTCCCCTTGCATAGGTTTCATTAATTATCCTAATGACCTAACAGTCCCGGGATCCAGGAGGGTGCTTTTAATTCCCATTTGCTTATGGATTTTAGATGTCTAGCTCATCTCTGCAATAACATTATCTATCTCTGCAATAACATCATCCATCTCAGCCCCTTGCTGAGCCCGTAGGCGCTGGAAGCTGCGATGGGGTTGGGCTGGAGCCCCTGCTTGTTCAGGACGGGGAGGCCAAGAACCGACTTAACCAGCCAAGMAGCAGCAGGCAAAAAATAAAAGCCAATATTAACAAGGCAAAATTCCCTGAACACTAGATATGAAAGTGACTCATGCAAGGCAGACCTGAAAGGCAGAAGAAAATCAGCCCTCGTGCCTTGCCAAAACTTTGGCCCCAGCTGAAGTTACAAAGAAGAGTTGTTTTTAAAAGGAAAAATAAAGCAAGAAAGACATGGGGAAACACGAGCAAGGGCTGCCGGCCGAAATCCCTGGCTTGGGTGTGTTCCTGTGTGCTGGGACAGGGCACAAACTGCACTGTATGCATGTATAAATTTATATTTGTATTTAGTCTTATATATATTATATATATATACACACATATAAATATATATATACACCTCATATATATATATATATATATATATATATATATATTTACACACACCTCAAAGATGTGTGCCATACCTGCTGGCTGGGATCCCCACTGGCACAAAGCACAGCTCCGGGTGACACTCGTGCCATCCCGTGTGTCCCCCGTCCCCTGCGCGCCCGGTGCTTTTGCACATCCTCCTGCTTCCCATTCCCTCGGTGCCGAGAGGCCCCGTGTTGTTACTGGCACCGTCCGGGTGCTCCGGGGTGCTGGGGATGTCCCCAAGCCACTGCCTGCTCTGCTGTCCTCRTGGGTGGTGGCACCTGAAGGTGATGAAGGCATTTTGGGGGGAAAATTCCCCTGGTCTAATGGGTACCCAGTGACTTCCGCACTCTTTGCTGGTTGCCAATGATGGGACRTGCCCGAAGGGACCCACTTGGCACCTCGCAGGACACTGACCTTCCAACACAGCTGGAAGCACCGTGGGCAGGAGAAGCAGGGTAGACCCGCGAGGAAACTCAGCCCTAAAGCACCAGYCGAGCCCAAGAGCAGCCCGAGCAGCAGCTCTGCTTGCAAAGTGTGCAGCACTTAGCAGCAAAAGAGGTGCTTATAAAGTCTGTCTCTCAACCAGGTGATTTTTACTAGGAAACTAAAATTCAGAGTTGGCTTTGACCTCAGCAGGACGGCCGAAGCGAAGGTGCAGACGCTGCTCGAGGGCCGGTGCACCGACCAYGTGGAGGTCCAAAGCGAGTGGATCGAGGCCACGTTCCAGGTGCCGCTGCAAGGTGAGCGTGGCCAGGAGCCCCTGCCCGGGCCGCTGTCACCTGCAGCTTGGGAACCACGGGAATTGCGCTAGGAGAGAAGCCAACGTGGCAGCCGGGTCTCCTGCTGCTCCTCCTTCCTCACTGCTTCGTGTCCTGCGCCTCTCTGGATGCCACTGGGATGCCCAGATAGAGCCCTGGGGCCAAATAACTATTTTATTATCTATATAATATAGATATATACTACGATACTATAGATATAATGCTACTATAATATAGATATAATGCTACTATAATAGTAACTGGCCTTTTTTCTCTTCCAACTGCAATGCACAATTGCTCAAAGATGTAAAAACACGACTTTTTTTTCTTCTTTTTTTTGGCTCAGCCTGAGTAGCACCTTGCTAAATAGCACCTCTTTCCCATTTGACAGGCAAAGTGGAGTCGGAAGTTCAGGATTTCCGCTGCATCTACCACGACTGGCAATACCTGCGGTGCACGTGGCAGCCGGGGCTCGCGGCGCCCCGCGGGGTGCGATACGGCCTCTATTACTGGTAGGTCCCAACGAAATGGGGGGGGAAAAAAATGGCTTGGGCCTTTGCTGGAGATACCCCGAGCATTTTGGCTGCCCCTTGGGTCACCGGGCCATCAAGGTGGCCACCTTGGCATGTGCTACCCAAGTGCAGGAATACGATGTACTTCCCTATTGCTCCTGCTATGCTGCTGCTTAACTTTTTGATTCCTTCTTCAAGAAAGAGCCCGATTTCTGCATTTTTTGGCCAAAGCAAATGCTGCATTTGTAGCAATAGGGCAAGGGGGGGGGGTGACTTGACTTTGCTGCCCACAGGCAGCCTGTAGGCAGAACCCTGGCTGCGATCTAAAAATTGCTTCCATGTCACTCTTGGAAATACTGCACAAAGCAGCAACACTGCTTGAAAAAGTTAATAAATAACAAAGGTCTCTTTGAAGAAAACCATGGAAATTCATGAATCAGACCTGGAAAACTAAACAAACAAATAAAACAGACTCTCTTATTTAAGCACCTGTAATGGAAGCAGGAGTTTGGATGGAGAGCCTGTTGTATAACAGGAGTGGGAGGGAAGGCAGCCACAGAGTCTCTTTGATCCCAGAAGTTTCTGCAACTTCCCGACACGCAGTGTTTTCCTGTGCATCGTGTCCTGCTGGAGCCGATCCAGGTTGCTGGATGCAACCCTGCTGCAGGGTTGCAATGGAAGAGGCAATGGAAAATAACACTTTTGTGGACTGGGGCTGGTATGCATGTGATGCATGTGTGTGCAATCCATATGTGTGCGATGCATATGTGCAATGCCTGTGTGCGATGCATATGTGCAATGCCTGTGTGCAATGCATGTGTGTGCAATGCATGTGTGCGATGCATGTGTGTGCAATGCCTGTGTGCAATGCATGTGTGTGTGATGCAAGTGTGTGCAATGCCTGTGTGCAATGCATGTGTGCAATGCATACTCTGCATCCCCATCCAGAGCGCAGGGGTGAGGCCTGAAGGAGCGAGAGGCTCTGGGTTCAAGTCAGCACCAGAGTCCTCATATGCCCCACACCTGGCCCAACCTGTAAAGCAACCTCACAAGCCATGAACACACACTATTCTTTTTTATTTTTYCCCCTTTTTTTTCTTATTTTCCCCCTCCCACCTCTGTATCCCCACCTSCATCCACAACAGGCCTCCAGGTGACAAGATGTCTCACATGATGTGTTTTAGGGTCACTTCCAAACTCAAGTGTGGTAGGATGTAGGAGATATCCGTGGTTTAGGTTCGGTCATTCCAACTCAACCATTCTGAAAAAAAAAAACCCAGAAAAAGGGGGGGGGAAAAAGGCTATATTGCAAATTACTGCTGTAGTTAGTTATTTAAGTTTTCATTCTTTTTTTCTCTGCTATTTTCCTAACACACCTGCAGGTACGAGGGCCTGGACCATGCCGAGCAGTGTGATCACTACATTCAGGACCACGGCATCAACATCGGCTGCACGTTGCAAAACCTRAGCCAGGCTGAATACAAGGACCTGACCATTTGTGTCAATGGCTCGTCCTCAGCGACGCAGCTGAGACCTCTGTACGTCACCGTTCGCCTCCAGAATCTAGGTAAGAACCCGGAGCAAGCTCATCCGAGAGCGAGACCCGTGTGTGAGGAGGATGCGGTTGATGAACCGAATCCGCTCCTGTCCTTCCCCATTGGGCTCGTTTTGCCCCCCAGCGAAGCCGTCGCCTCCGGAGGGGCTGGTGGTGTCCGTGTCCGGCGCGGAGGAGCTGCAGGTGACCTGGAGCCCGCCGGGAGGGGAGACGCCGTCCCAGTGCCTGGAGTACGAGCTGCAGCTGGCGGCAGAGCCGGGGGACAGCGCGGATGCCTGGGAGGTACGAGAGGGGCTCGGGGAGGGGAAGGGGCTGGCAGGTCCTGCCTGGTGGCCGGGATGGGGAGAGGGGATGGAGGATGCGCGTGGGGGAAATCCCTGTCCCACCGCCATCTCACATGTGCTCCTGCCTTGCTTCCTGCTGCATCCTTCAGCTGCAGTCCTGAGAGCAAAAACGGCAAAAATTAATTAATTGTAGGGACCCCAGGAGAGCGTTTTCTGCCCTAGTCTAGATATCACAGAATCACAGAATGGTTAAGGTTGGAAGGGACCTCTAGAGATCATGAAGTCCAGCCCCTGCTCCAGCAGGGACACCCAGAGCACAGGGCACCTGGTTGCATCCAGGTGGGTTTGGAGACCTCCAGAGAAGAAGCCTCCCTAGCCTCCCTGGGCAGCCTGTGCCAGGGCTCTGTCACCCTCACAGTGAAGAAGTTCCTCCTCACATGGAGATGGAAYAGCGATATGGCTCTATTAACCAGCCTCATGAAGGATTCCATTAGCACACATAAAGAGCAACATGCATGGTGGGGACCTCTGAACGTATACATTTTCAGTAGCATAATGTCCACGGTCATCTTGCTTGCACTGCTTGGCCCAAAGCTATTGTGAAATCCCTTCAAAGAGCCAAACCACAACGCAAGCGCTCGCAGAGCCTGGGCAATGCGTCCGGGAACGCCAGCCCATGCCAGAGAGCTACTGGCTGTGGGATGTAATTCCTTGACCTTTGCTTTCTGTGTTGTTTTGCCTCTCAGTCTGTGGCAACGCAAATGGAGACRGCCTTCACCATTCCCAAAGGAAACCAAAGCCACGTTTCGTGCGTCCGAGTCAGGGGAAGAACAAACATCTTCTGCGCCGACCAGGGCTTCTGGAGCGAATGGACACAGGAGTGTTTCTCGGGTATGGAACCCAAAGCAAGCGGTGGTGCTTCTGTGTCGCTCATGAAGCCGGGTTGGGACATGGTGCTGGTGGTTGCAGTGGAGATCTGCTGGTGTCCGGTGCCAGGGATGGTATCGTGGTCTTGTCACCCTCAGTGTGATCCAGCACAGTTGCACTTTCGGCTTTGTGCCCCCATGGCACTGCTCAAACGAGACCCAACATAGAAACCTTTCCTCACCAGCAAGAAAGAAAGTGCCCTTAGGGCCCCTTCTCCATCTASCCAGGGCTTCCAGGAGGATTCAGCTGCCTCTGCTGAAACAAGGGCTGATTTTARGAGAAATAGGGACCAACTGAGCAGAAGGACCATGCCTTAACTCCTAAACAAGCACTGACACTTCACRAAGCCTGGACTCCTTCAGGGCAGCCCCAGCGTGCCGTGGCCCTGTCACCAGAAGATGGTTGCATAGAGGTGGCTGCAGATAAATGCTCTGCTGGAGGATAGCAGCTTGAACACATAGACTTTGCTCTCAGAGAGGTAACAGGACCTGTTGTGCCAACTGCCATTGCCTTAATCGCTGTCGTTTCTCCCCACAGCCTCCAGAAAAGAGGACAAGCGGCTCTTTATCCTCATCCCAGTCATTCTGAGCTTCTCATGTAGCCTCATCATGTTGATGTTGATTGGCCAGTGCAGGAAAAGGTAAGAACTGGGACAGGCTGCACCCACAGCGAGCCTCCCAACAGGGGCATCAGCATCCAGCTGGGCACCAAGTGACACAGCTGGGACAAATACAGTAATAGAGACCCCARGACTCAATGCTAGACAGCAGCCTACACTGTTCTGTCCTGCTTGTGTTGAAGCAATGCAGTTCTCCTGGGCTGGGGCTCCTTCTCCCCACCCTTCCATTGCATTCATTCCATGTCACTTTGCCCAGGGGGAAGAAGCTGGGGAGGAATTTGCCCCATATCCAAGTTATGGGCACTGACAACATTTCCTTYAGGTCAGAAGGATCAGTTAGAGCTCATCTCCTGCTACAGGGACTATTATCTTCTCCTTACTCTATAGTAAGACCGCAGAGGATGAGCATGGGGGTAGACTTCATGTTCATTAAGGCATCACCGTGAGGGAGCATTGGCTCTAGAAATGATTCAATGCTCTTGTAAGAGAGGAATTRATGCATTTTTGGTAGGTAGGTGGCTGCAGCCACACACTTCCACACTTGTGTTTTGTGTCTGCCTTTCAAACGTGTTTGTTCATAAAATTGAAGTGTAGACGCTGGCAAGAAGCCCAGGGAAAGCAAATGCCTCCTCCYGCTTCATCACGGGGTGTGTGGGGAGTCATGGGGGCCACCAGCCCTCCCGGTGCTGGGAATAACAACCCGTGTCCCGTGCAGAACCCCAGCAGGAAAGCAGCTACCGGCGCCCGTGGGATGCTAACCCCGCTCCAGGACGCCCGCACCGCTCCAGTTGCACGGACTGCTCTTGGAAGATGCCCCCGAGGAGAGCCAGGGAGCCCTGAGCTGTCTCACGTCCCTTTGGGCCTTTCCTACTTGCTGTTTACAAGGTTGGTGCTGGATTTCAAGCCCACAAGAGACCCAGGAAGAGTTTCTAAGCTGATTCTGCAGCAAACTGCTTCCGATAATGGGACAAGGGAGAAAAAGGAGGCAGTGGGGACTGCGATGAACAGACACCCCTCTGCCATGGGGGTATTTTTCATTTTCCATGTGAGACTTACGAAGGGCAATGCCCCACACATAGCACTGCATGGTGCCACGGTGCCCCTCTCCTCTCACCACTTCTTCCCCAGCTCAGGCTGCTCACAGTATTTAACTGCTGCCCTTGAGCTCCAGGTATTTATTTCCTCACCGTGCCTTTTGCAAAGCTCACACGGGAAGCCTCGAGGGAAAACTTTGCTGTGAAAAGCCCTAGTTGCAGCTACCACAAGTGGCACACAGTTAAAAGGAGAAGCAAAGAGTTACTCTGGCAAAGGCAAGTATGGAAACTTCTCCAGGAAGGGAGCACAGGTCCCGGACCCCAGCAAAGTATCCTGGATGGTGCTCGACACTATGTATTGAGGTAATGGAATTGCTTATAGGCTTCTAAGGAATCTTTCCCTTATTTCCACACATACATTCCACACATGCATTTCCACTTCCCTACATTTCGTATATATATCTGCATACACATACACACACATTCCATATATATATATATTTTTCCAAATATATATATATATATACACACACATTCCGTATATATATTCCATATATATGTGTGTGTGTGTATATATTTATATATGTATATGACCACCCCAGCTGGGTGAAGTCCAGATGAGCCACTATCCACCAAGCACAGTTCTGGACTCATCTGTTAAAAAAGCAAAATGAACCAACACGTGTTTTTACTGTGCTTTCATTTCCTTTGACCAAGCTAGAGAACACATTTTCTTGTGGGAGCATTTACTCCCAGATGGGAATTTCTAGTGAATGGGGGAAGTTCAGAAAGAAAATAAAGCCTGTAGCAATCACAAGTGCAAAATTAACAGGATCTGTCGGCAAACAGCGGCGAGTGACGTCTTGTGCGTCCAACTGCAGAGCTGTTCAGTCACCATCCGCTGCTCCCTGCCCAACATGAAGCAACCCAACACTATTCAGGGAGCAGACAAAGCAGGAAAGCCCCGGGAAAAGCAGCCTGGAGATGAAGGGAATTACCCAGTCATTGTTATTTTGAAGAGACCTAACCTTGGTCCGTGCTCTCTGCTGCTTCTTGGGGCTCTACAGCTGCAAAGAGTGGCTCAATGCACGACCGTGTTTAACTCCTCAAAAGCAGCAGGATGGATCCATGGAGGGATCCCATGCACTGGGCTCACGGGGATGGTGAAGGAACCTGTGAGTGAGGGGACAGACTGGGACAAGGCTGGAGCACGTTCCGGATCAGCACGTGGCTGCTGGGCTGCCGCTGAGGTCCTTCTGGTGCTGGGACGACCATGGGAATGGGCGCGTCCAGAAGTGTGGAGCATCCAGGACTGTGGAGCATTTGGGCAATGGGGCTTCAGGCCTGGCAGCAGGAGCAATGGTTATTGCATTGATAATAATGGTTAAAATCCAAAAGAGTTGCCCACAGGAGGAGAAGGGAGCCAAGACCCTGCTGGAGTGCTCTTTAGGGACTGCTCTATGAGCCAGGTCGATGCTTCTAGCCTACTTTTGTCCCAAAAGAAATGAGAAGAGAAGAAGACAGAAAGAGAAGGGGCAGGYGGCAAGGGAACGACGTTGCACCTCCAGCACCACAGCTCGCCCCAGAAAAGATCAGTGCTATTTCCGTAACTGGGAAATATAAAACTCAAGCTGAAGCAAGCCTAGAAACCTGCCTAGTAACTAAGGGATAAATTAAGGATTTCTCCTTACACRTGCTCGGCTCTGCGCGTGTACCGAGGAGAGGAAAGGCTTCGTGAACCCCGACAGCCCTGCACGGGTGCCCGGGCAGCTCCCCGTCCTCGTGCATGGCCACCTCTGCTTCCTCACACCCCAGCCTCCACCACGACTTCAGCACGAGGCTCCCACTGAACGCACAGAATGGTCCTAGCTCCCTCCTGCCTTCACGCTGTACTCTGCAGCGTAGTGCTTGAATCCAGTTGCTGTAGTCCATAATTATTATTTTCAGTAAAGCTCTTTCAAAGGCATCACTCGCACGCTCTGCTCTTATTGCGCCAGCCCCTGCCTGGCTTCGCCTGGGTTTGGCTTTGCCCGGTGTCACTGCAGAGCCCAGCATGGGTCCTGGTGTCACCACAGAGCCTCGTGCTGGTCCAGTGTCACTGCAGAGCCCGGGGCTCATCCAGTGCCACCACAGAACCCAGTGCCCATCTGGAGCCACCACAGAGGCTTGGCACTGATGAGGTGCCACCATGCACAGCTCCTGGTGTCACTGCAGAGCCCAGCACAGAGCCGGGGCCTCTGTGAAACCCAGCCTGAGAGCCGGACCAGGCACGGGCAGGTCCTTCTCGGGATGCTGCCTGATCAGGTATCCCTGATAAGGTGGGAACCTTATCCCTGATAAGTTGGGAAGTCCCCAGCCCTGCTGCTTTCCGCTTCCCAAAGTGGAATAGCAATAGCTAATGCTTGTGCAGTGAGAAAGCTCCTGGCTGCAGCAGCTTTGCCGCTCACCTCCCGGGCAGCAGAGCTCTGCCAAGCTCCCTATGCCTGTGCACAACCCCGGCTTTCTCCRGAAAAAGGAGATTTTTTCCGGAGGATCCGCCGCTCTCAGAGCTGCGGAGCAAACAAGCCCGGCGATGCCTGTGCTTAACAAGCCTGCTTGGAACAGCTCAACCAGCTCTGCAAAGCGCAAGTGTCAAAATCCGCCGGATTGCGGATGGATTCGGATGCAATCCGGACGCCTCCACACGCCGGCTCCCACGGCCAGGCAGCATCGCCGCCTTGTGCAGCGCTGAGCCGGGCAGCAGCCTCCTGATGCTGCTGGAAGGTGCCCGAGGTCCCAGCCCAGCCAGAGCTGCAGCCCGGCCCCCCCAGTCCGGCCCATCAGTGGCCATCTGCAAAATAGATTTTTCAATCCTGCTGAGAATTTTTTTTTTTTTTTTTTTTTGCCTGGGAAGCCGTGCATGTGGGTGGTAGAGGCATGTGACTCCTTTGGTGTGCTTGGGTGTTCCACCTCATGAAGGCCTCTGCATCTGACAGGATGCATTTGCATTTAGGAAAAAAAAAAACAAGTAATAAATACTTTTTTTTTTTTTTTTTCACATAGCACAGAACAGTTTCCTTTAATAGAATTCCCTTACCCAGATATCTTTCTGCCCTAAAAGCTCTGGGATTCAYACAGTGGTGGTGAGAACATACATACCAAATTGCACCACAAGTTTCCTGGGAAAGGTCTGTGTTTYAAGGCTGAATTCCATGAACACATCCGTCCTCCAGCACCAGGAATAGCCCAGGAGCAGAGTGGGAGCTCTGCATCCGCCTGCGCGTAGAAAGAAAGGTCACAGTCAAACATATGCCAGATAAACTGGAGATGCCAAAAGCTCGGAGTGAAAGCAAAGTCACTGTAAGCACCTACCCTGTCCCAGCCTCGTGGCCGTGGTGGCAGGAGATGCAAGGTGGTGTTTGCTGCAGATCTGCCTCCTGCTCGTGCAAAATGCACTTCTCCGCCATGTAAAATTCACATGGAAGGGAGGAAATGGAGCCAAGAATCACAGGTTCTCGCCCTGCCTCCCAGCGCCCAAAACATCCCTTGCACTCACACAAGGTCCAAGTGGTCCTTGCATGATTCACCTTGTGTTCACTCCCAGGTTGTTCCAAGGAACCTCCAGGTCTTCTGCTCGGGGGATAAAGACGTACATGATGATAGCAGCTAAATTATCACTAAGTTTGTGTAAGGCTCTGTGSTATCATGGAGTTGGAAGCAGCTCTCAACCTGCTCAGAGAGAGCAGTTGCACATTTGTACTCCTGGGCATTCTGGTGATTCATGCTTTAAAACAGATGGGTTTTAGCTTGTTACACGGAAACAAGGGACTGATCAGGACACCAGGAGCCCCAGAGAAGGACATTTTCCTGCCTTGTTTCTGCCATTCAAGCCTGTTACCCCAGCGGGGCAGCACAAAGTCCCTCAGAGGCTTCCCCTGGCCTATTATCTGATSATGTTTGAGCTCATAACTGCTGAACTGGACACATATTCTAAGCCTTGGGGCTCTCATTGCGTCTTGGCTATCCAGAAGTTCTTGGCCGTGCTGCCAATTTATTTAGAGACGCGGAGGCTGAGGAGACAATAACCCTGCTGCCTGCCAGGTTCAGCTGAGCCCATTTCCAAGAGCAGCAAGAGGCCAGCAGCACGAGTTATTTAACTAAAACCAAAGCCTGGAGCTCTCAGTTGCAAGCAGGGACCCAAGCAAAGGCGGGCAGTGCAAGCACAGGGCCACTGAAAGCCACCCAGCAGCATTTTCTGAGCTGCACCAGCAGGACGTGGCCTCAGCGCTGCAGCTCTCCAGAGCAGACCAAGGCCGGGCCAACAATACCCCACGTGTGCAGAYGTGCTCTTGTGGGTAAATACAAGTTACTCACGTGTTTGAGAGTCATTCTGGAGGCTTTGGAGAATGCGAAAGAGCWATTGCTTCATGCACTTTACTCCTGGCTCGGGCTGGGATCGTGCAGCCTCTGTGATCCCTCAACCATGCTCATCCTCCTGGTAGGACACACATTGACCTGGGGCTCTCACCTGCTTGTTCTTCCCAAGCTGTGGCCTCTTTCTCCACTTGCCTAGGACCAGGAAGGACCATAGCCCAAAAATATCATCCTTGCTTCAAGATGTTCATTCCTCCCATGCTCTGGGATGGGTCATCACGGAGGTCTGGGTGGCACCATGCAGACAACGTCTCATCACCCCACGCTTTGCCTGGTGCAGGACATAGCAGTCCTCCCATGGCACCACTATGGCATGCACCCCTTCCTAAATGCAGGAGCATCCAGCAGGCTTTTCTGTCCCTTTTGCCCCTGCTCCATCAGAAAGTGCCATTCCAGACCTGCAACAGTCACTTGCTAGAAACCTGCTTCTCATTCTTAGTTTATTTCTGGCATGCTTTTTTTTTTTCCTGATGCCAGTATTTTCCTGGAGACCAAAAAGACCAAGATAACAACATCGTTCACACCAGCTACTCCCACATACACATTAGCATCCTTAAATTCCCACTCAGATAAAAGCTGCTGCTATGTCCCAAGTTGTAGCAATGGGAAGCCTTGTCAACCAGTCATGGTCCCAAGGCTCCTTGCCAAGCATTGTCCCCACAGACAGGGCCAGCCTTGCACCCCAATGGTGTAAACCAGGGTGCTCCTGACCTGAAACATCTTCTCACACTTCCTAGCCTGAACACAGCAGGGCACGAACGGCACAACCAGCTTCCCCAGCACAAAAGAGCAGATACAAAGCTGCTGCAAGCACAAGTTGGCTTTGCTTAAGGTGCACAGAACTAAGTCAGATTCTTACATTGAGACATTTATTAAAAATGCCATATTTGAGAGATATTCCAGGGGAAAAGGTGGAAGAGTTTATCACTTGCTTTGTATTTACCAAGCTTTGGGGTTGGGGGTCTAGGGATATCTGCTGGCACCAATTTCAGGGGCTTAAGCAACAGTGGACTACATTGCAAGAGCAGAAAGAGAAATGAAAGTTACATATTCAAATTTTTGTTGGTTTTTTTGCCCTTTGGTCAGGACACACTTTGATCAGGGACAGATGGAGGAAAGGGAGGGCACGTTCGTTTGCTTATTTTGCAGCGGACCGTGAAAAAAAAAATTAAGTAGGAGTGATTAAACCAACAAACTTTCTTTAATAAATTAATAGCAGCATCACAAAACCCTGATGTGAACGACCCAGAGGAGGCCGGGCAGGTGACAGCACTCAACCATTCACAGAAAGGTCCTGGTCCGCTGGCAGGGGGAACGCAGGCGCTCCGGCGCGGTCCCCTCGGCTCCTCCTCGCAACAGGCAACGCGCACCAGAACGGGGCCAGCCGAGCACAAACACTCACCCGATTTACAATTGCGGCGCTGAATATTTAAAAAGAAAAAAAAATATAAAAATTTGGCAAGTTTGTTCTTTAGATCTTGTTATTTACAGCCCTACGGAGCAGGTTCCCGTTTTGCCCATAGATCAGGACTGGCAGGAGCGAGGCATGGAAGCTCCCAGGCAAGGAGGATGCCGTTGGGTGGACGTGGCAGCTTGGAGCCCGCTGTGGCAAAGGAGCTACTCACGCCTGATGCCAGTCCTGCTCCTGCAGGAGCAGCTCAGCTTACTGCCAGATAAGCAACAAGCCCCTGCTCCTGCTCCCTGCAATTCAACTTATTGCTAAAGGCTTTCAAAGTCTGGGGTTGGCTTTTAAATATATAGATATGTATATATATGTATATATATGTACACACGCACACATATATATACACACACACATATACATGTTTGTAAAAGACGTGCTATGAAGTCACCCAAGGCCAAAAAAAAAAAAACCTTTCTGATTTTTTGGTACTGCAATAGTTCAAGAGGACCTCAATAGATCAAGAGGACCATGACCTTCAGGCTCTCAGCTGGAAGCATCCCCACACCATATTTTGGCAGTGGGTTCCCTCTACGCAGCAAGATAAGGGCCCAACAGTAGGCTAAAGCACAAGCTGAATTTTCTGTTTCCCCTGCAAGTCAATKTGGGTGTGATGAACACAACAAACTTAGAGCACGAGGGGTCATGTTAATAAAACACAACTTGCACATCAGGCTTTTCTGTTCTGAGGACYTGCTGTTGGTGACGCCAAATGCAACTGAGTTACATTTGAGGATTAGTTAATGAGGGTCTTAATTCCTCGCGTGCTTCCAGCCCTGACCATAGTTGTTTCTGGACCATGACACCAGCAAGCGACTACCACCTCATCCTTTATCCGCTTGCACCCTTACATCAACACTGCTCCAAAAGCAGCATTTAATTGACAGAATTTTAAAACTGCAAATCCCAAGATTTTTGAGGGGGTGGGGAAAAGAAAAGCAAATGCAAACCAYGCCAAGCAGCAAAGAGATGTGAGGAGCGAGAAGACAAGAGCTCTTRGAAAGCCCAAAAGCTCTTCCCTGAGTAAAATAAGAAAAAACTGATCAAAACGGTTCGTCATGCCACAAGAGATGGCCACCAGTCGCCTGCTCTGAGCTGATGACAGCCGCAAAATGTGAGTGTCCTGGTACCCACGCTCATCTTTGGGATGAAGCGGGAGCTTGTCACACATCTGGGATGATTCCCTTAAAAAAAAAACCTCAGCTGGATACCATAGAGTGGTCTCAATCTCTGTCTTCCCCCCAAGAGTACACGGGATGGAGCCAAGACAACGAAGCATTCCCTACCTTTCTAACGGAGCCAGAGGGAAACAGAAGTCTAGCAGGGCTGAGGAAGGAACTAAAGCTTAAGACAGGTCCCTGGAGGCCGGGGACCAGCTGGCTCCAGGATGCCAGCGAGCTGTACCTGCAATGCAACACGTCTGGCCAAGTGACTGCAACGCTGCGGTGATGCCTCCCTGCCAGGACTCCGCACCGTCGCTACACTGCACAAATCGGGGGGAGGATTTAAAGTATATATTTACTGTCAACTGGAGAAAAAAAAAAAAAAAAAGTTATATTGACCAAGTCTAGTAGCATGTATTTGATATATAACTATTAACGCGCCATTCTGGACTCCAGCAAATGCCACCTGAGATAAATATTCAGCATCTTTTGTTCATGCATTGGAAGAAGAATTCAAACAGTTTGTCCATGACATATGCAAAGTAACTAATATTTCTGATCTAGTATTAACAGTAAATATAGACCCTTAAACTTCACTGCAGTATATTAATATATATGATTTTTAAGTACTGGACTGGAAAGACACCTCTTTTTTTCTTTTAAAAAAAAAGTTTTGTTCAGAATGCAGTATTTACATAGTCCTTTGACCAACTCTTACATTTTTACACAATATATTTGGGCTACAGGCACACCGTAGCAAAAGACTTTGAAATGAGCCCTCTTTATACACAGCTCACTCTCTCGCTTACAACGTTACAGCTGTTTATGGAGAGCTCTGAAGTCCCCGGTTGCATTTGTAGACCCTCAACTTCGTCTAGTTCCATGCTGTTGAGTTCGTTGCCGTTTCGGTAACTCGTTAAAGTCAGATCTTTCCCATATAACGCTGTGGAAGCAACATTCAGACACTGATTCTGTCGCACCGCCGATTTTTTACCGGTCTTGTATTGGCAGCGGATATAATTGGAAAAAGCCCTGCGATAGGTTTTATTGAAGAGTGTGTATACAAGGGGATTGATCCCAGAGCAAACGTACCCGACCCAAACGAACACGTCCAGGAGTTCGCTCAGGAGCCCTTTGTCACATGCCTCCTTGCAAAGGACGGACATGATGTTGGTGATGAAGAACGGGCACCACATGATGAGGAACAAAAAGAAGACGATGCCCAAGACCTTGGAGGCTCTCCGCTCGTTGTTGATGGACTGCATAGTTCCCTTGCGGAAAAGCACCGCTTCCTTGTTTACCGGAGAGTTCAAGTGCGATGCCCCCTCGTGATTGTGAAGCATGGAAATGTTCTCGGCGTTGTTTTCTTTCTTGAGGCAGTTCACGCTGCTCCGGCGCTGCTTGGGCACCTCGCCGCACATGAACACCGTGGCCTGGCGCTGCAGCACCTGCACCGTGAGGCAATACGTGATCACCATGATGATGAGGGGGATGAAGAACGCCACAAAGGAGCCGACGAGCACGAAGTTCTCGTCGTTGAGGACGCACGTCCCGTTCACAAACACCCTGGAGTCGTCCTGCAGACCGATGACCGGAATGGGCATGGAGATCCCTACAAGAGCAAGAGAGTGAGTTACTGCGCTTGGTAGGACAGAGGCTGTGGGTCCTGCTTGTGTCCAGCCCCTGCCAAAAGCTGTTCAGAAGAGAAGCAAGGATCCCAGGTGGAAGGGGGAAACTTTGGGAATGTCCCCCCGGGGAGCACAGCTCCACAGTGCGACCACCCTCCACGGGGAGCTTCTGCAAGTCTCCACGCTGAGCCCAGAGTAACTGAGTTAGCAGGTTCTTTTTCCAGCATTACTTGGGACGTGTGGTGGTAGGAAAGGCAGGTAATACACCAATTACACACCAATTGTGTATTGCACACCAATTTMGGTGTATTACACACCAAAAACACGCTGTGTTGCAGCTGGGCCCCCTGTGCCTCCCCATTCGGGGAGCCTGTGAAATCAAAGGCAGGAGACAGATTTATAGCAAACTTTGAAGAAGAAAATACCAAAATACAAAAGAGCTACAGCTACTAAAATTTAGTAGCAAGCTTGCTAAAAACATTAAATAATCCTGACAGAAAAATGGCCTATTGTATCACGGAGTCACTGCAACAAAGCTCCCAGCTCTAGACTCGGGGCCCTTATCTAGCTCTGGGTAAGACAACTGGTCTCAGGAAACTCTACCTGTCCTGTTATTTCACCCACAAGCAGTTGGAAAGTGAGAACCATCACCTGTCTGGCTGCAATTCTTATGGCAGGCCATTATACAGTCAAAYGCAAAGACACACAAGAGTGTGTTTTGGAATACCATAACCCATGTGTACATGAGAACACAGGAAGGATATGATGGGCCAGATCTAGTTAGACCTATCTCATGGGCTCACCTAGCTCCATCTTTCCTCTGGTAGTGTGCAGGTCCAAATATTTAGGGTTATGACATAAAATGGGGCAGGTACTGCCATTATAGCTTAGACAATTCCACATCCAGAAGTTATATCCACAGTCTTTCTGTTTTGTTTTKAATAACCCTTAAGAAACCTGTCTTCTTGCATTCTTGCTACCCTCTACTCCTCCAGCAGGTATAGAATAAATTAGTTCAACAACTTCTACTTGTTGTAYGAGCAAAGTATTCTTGCTTACTTCAAATCTACTGCCCGATAAACTTCCTTTGATTTCCCTTAGCACTTCTGCTGTAAGGAACAATGAACGATTGCTCTCCCATCACCTTCCCCACCTCCTCGGGTGATTTTACAGACCTTTATCTTCTCCACCAACTGACATCCCTTTTGGAGCTGAAGAATACTACTCTGCCTACTCTCCCCTGGTGCAAAAACTCATTTTATGCCTCTGTTTCTTTTCTAATTCCTCTCTGTCCTTTTCCAGAAGGGATGCAAACTGCACACATGCTCAGGAGCACTTGGGCCTTTGGAGAGCAGCTGATGGCCTTTCCTCCTCCCGTTGCCTCCATGAGTGTCCAGCAGCTCCATCCATGGGGCAGCCCATGCTGCTTCCCAGCTCCTTCTCCCGGGCAGCACCTGCTGCTGCCAAGGCCAGGGTTGCAGCTGGACTGTGTTTTGGAGCGCTGTGGATAGCCCAGGTCCTAGAACTGATTCCCTGGGACTCTGAGTTCCTAAATAGACATGAACATGCTAAAGTAATTAACCGCRGCATTTTTCCTCTTCCAGTTAAGCGTTTTCCAGGATTCTGGAGAATACGTCTGTAATCTGTCATTGTCATAAAAGMACCATTTGCCAGTAAGTTAGTGAAGGATTTTTTTTTTTCTTAAGAGTAATAACTGTGAAAGTCTTTTGCATTGTAGCATGTATTACATTGGCCCAAGTGTTAGCTCCGGGGTCCTGTGGTCTTCCTCTCTGCACTACTTCACCAGTGACCTCTTTGCAAGGTAACTGTCTCCTCTTTGATCTGTTAACCCTTGCTAACTTGCCCATCTCAAGYCCCTATAACGGCAGTAATCTCCGCCCAGCCAGGTCACTGATTTTTACTGCTAAAGACACTTTTCCAATGCCTTGGCTACCTGAAATGWCAGGCATTCGGGAACTGGTGGGAGATGGATCAAACTGCCTTTCCACAAAGAAGAAATCTGAATAGATCAAGAGCTCTACACTGCAGCAACATTTGTGGGGCCCACTTTATGCTCTAGAGTCTTGTAAAGAAGCATTTAATTTGAAATAAAGCTCAGAAAAAGAAAGAAAGGTTCATTCGTGAAGTAGTCACCACGGTATTTGCTGGTACTAACTTTATCCAAGGGAAATTAAATAGGTCTTCAGGATATCTCCAGTCACACACATGGAGCACATTTGTGAAGAGGAACCTAATTCTGGGCTACAAACAGGATACAATCAGGGCTGCTGATGGCCGTCTAAAATCCTGGGTGCCCATGTGGTACCTCCAGCATCAACTAGAGGGAATGAGGAGATGGCTCTGCTGGAGAAGTGTCCGTCCCTCGTACCAAAGGAGTATTTCATCTATGAAAACCATGAAGCGAGCAAGCCCCAGGCCTCTGCCCTGCTCTTACCTACAAGAAAATGTATGTAAGCCTGAGCAATGGAAACCACAGTCTCCAGGGGCTATTCCTCTTCTCCYCTCCCTTAGCTCCTCTTGGACAGGGCAAGTGGAAAGCAAGACAGCTAGATACCCTCTGGATTATAACTCCACTTGGAGCAGTTGTCCTAACTGTGGTTCTCGCCAGCTTCAAAGCTGTTCTCAAGCCCAGCACATCACTTCAGCAAATGAGGCTGACAYGATGCTGTGGACACAGAGCAACAGATGCTCTTCACAGATTCCCAGTTAATAAAACAAAGCCAAAATGATTACAAATATGTCTCGGTAAAACATTCACTAGCTTGCCCAGAAAAATGCGGGGAAAGAGTCCCCGTGTACAACTGACAAGTTACAAAATGTAGGCTTACATGAAAAATACTGTTTCTGTGGTTTATATCTTGTTTTCTTTTGTGAGTGTCCCTGAGACTAACAGAGACTACAGGAAAGACCAACTCTTTGATGGTTACTTCCACTGAAACAAAAAGGAACTAATTTCCATTCTTTCCAAAAACATTCTTACACAAGAAGGGATTTTATTTTCTCTAGGGACAGCAACCTCATTAAGGAAATCAGGAGCCTGCATCTGGGTTTACTTTGCACACAGAGGATGCTCCGAGGGGAACGTTAGAGGGTTTTGCTGCTGGTGCCTGGGTCGGGAATACCAGGACCACCTCTTCTGGCATGAGCACCGGACCCAAAGTCTGCTGGAGTCCTCAGAAAGGGCTCTGCAGCCCTCAGAAAGGGGCCCGTAAYGAGCAATGACTCCTTAAATCTGCACCTTTGCCCTCCTAGTTACTATTACACAAAATAAACTCAGTTTATGCCTCCAAAAGTTACCCACCTGAATGTCAGAGACTGCCGTAACTGTGCACAGGGGAGGCAGGAGGAGGAGAGAGGAAGCACCTCTCCCAACCCTTTCAGAAAGGGAAAACTGAAACAAACCTGTTTGGTTTCTTCACAGAAGTGCCTGCACAGCTCCCCAGTGCCGACTAACACACCGCGAGAAATAAAACCCAAGATCCCACCTCCCAGCTTGCATTAGAAAAGGCACCCGCTGTGAGAAGGCAGCTCTTCAGAGGCAAACTGAAGAACGTGGTTTYTTGAAGTGATCTAAACTCCCCCAAGAATCCCCTACGTTCCCCATGCCTCAGCAGACAAACCGCACTGCTTTTCATGTGCCAACATAGCACCAATGCACCTGGAGGGCAGCGTTAGGGTTAGTTTCATCTACCAGAACAGTTCCAGCCTTGCAGTCCTTTAGTCAAAGACAGAAGGGGCCTCAACTTGGAGCAATCTCACGCCTGCACTGAGCACAACTGCAAATAGTGGAGAAAAACAAGGGCAAGGTAATTACTAAGTGTGCCTGAACAAGCTGCTGACCTTTGCTTAAACCTCGGGAGCGCACTGAGCAACCCAAGCCCAGAGGGAAAACGAGCAAATGCCAGTGAACGCCCGAAGAAATAAATGATTTTCCCATTTGCCCTTCTATTTTGCTAAATTACCTCTCTGGCTTTGTGCAGCCACCTGATCCCAGGGCTGCAGCTGAAGGAAGGGCCCACCTGCCTTGGATTCTGTGCTCCCCGGGCTGGCTTTGTCCCTGCAGACATGCAGGGATGCTGAAACCAATGGTGAGGAGCAGCAAGGAGATCATGCAAGCAGATCAGCATCCCTCCTGACCCTGAGGACGGCTGTGGTCGGATGGGCAAYCATCCTCTGTGCAAAACTGTCCCTATCTCCAGCTGCTGCTGTCCCAGGCAAAACGTTGCATTGACATTTRAGAGCAAAAGCAAAGCAACACAGGCACCAGTGACCAAAATCCCAAGGCAGCTCCTTGTTCTTCATTGCTCTAACAGAGCAAACAGATGTAACACCCCACTTGCCAGGGTGCTGCGGTGACCAATGGCCCTCTTGGGAATCATGGTAAAAATACATGGTAAAAATATATATGAGCAAAAGGAAATAGAGGAAATAACCYTGCAGTCAAAAAKGGGAAACTGAGGCAGAGGACACCTGCATGATATGCTCTCAGCCATAAAAAGAGGGTCTCTGGCTGCCCAGGACCAGAAGATAGGTCTGAAATTGGAGTTAGGAGCACAAAAATCTGATCTGCTACAGCAATCTGCAAGTAGTCGCATGATGTGCGGTGCTAAAGCCACCTCCATGCCCCCTCAAGACTAGTGACATCTTTGTGGCATTGCTACCACTGCAGCACTTGAACCTGTAGGAACCACCAACTCCATCTTCTCCGTTGGGCACACCTAGTTCTGCATCTGTTACTCGCTTCAAGTTTTATGGTTGTAATTTTCTGAAAAGAGAATATCTCTCTGTCTTTAGGAAGSCCTCCTCGGGATTCGGGAAGGCAGAGATAAGGCATTCTTGTTAAAGAAACCATTTGTGAGAAAACTTAACAAGGAGCCAAGAGTAGATTGAATTTTTTGGTCTTGTTTTCCCATCTGCAAAGTCGCACTGCTCCCTTGGGATTGCAAATCTCGTGCCTGGGGCCATATCTGTGCCAGATCCTCAGCTGGTGTGAACAGGCCCAGACTCGCTGGACAGGGGCCTGCCGACCTGCACAAACGAGTCCTCGAGACCCGCCAAGGCTGGGACCCCCTGCACATCCACATGGACACACTGACGGAGCCTGCAGACCCCGGCAGCTGCCGTCACAGCCGCTGCAGGACAAGCAAACACTAACCATTTTCACCACGTTCTCCACCTGCTAACATCTTCAGACCCTCCATTTGTTGCCCTCACTATTAGCCACATTTTTGCCATTTTCTCCCCATGAAACCCGTGTCCCTAACTTTGCTAATTTGCTGCAGATTCACGTGTGTGTGTGCTCTTGTCCTGGACAGAGGTTTCCCAGGTGTAACCACCACTCCACATGTGCACCTCGGAACAAGCCCTCCCAGGAAGCAACCCAACACCTTGATGCCCCTGGAGTCCCTCAGCCCAGATGGACACCCCTGCAGGTAGCAATACAAGCCCAAACAAATGGAGCTTCAAGAACACGAGTGAGCCACGTTCTGCGAATCACTGCACACAGCCCACCCTCTCCTTCCATGCACAGCCTGCTCTTACTCTATATAAAGAACACAATTCYTCTTAATGGTGGTGGTATCACTCTAAGAACATGCAAACTGAGCATCATCTCCAATGCTCAATGACCATTCCCAAGGAGATAGGCTCAGCTGAGACCTGGGTGTCCACTGAAGGACCTCCTGATGGTAACCTACACGCTTGGGGCTGCTCAGGAGAGGAACACTCAGGGCAGGAGCAAAAAAGCTATGAGGAATACAGTCATTTCATCCAAGGGGAACATTTACTGGTCCTTACAGCACACGCCTTTCATCTTTATATAAACAAATGTCCTCAAAACAATGAAATGCTTAGATGGTTAAACAGAAATGTAAAACCTCCTTTTAAAGTTGATCAGTTTATTATATCCACAAATCCAGGCTAGCTATCCAAAACCAAAATTATATTATCATCAGCAAGRCAGAGAGAGAGAGAAAGAAAAAAAGCCCATTTCTAACCACACACATACCATGGCATTATCACAAGTCAGCTGCAAATTGCCTTTTTTATTATTTATCCTGTTTTCAAACGAAACAACAAAAGAAAAAAAGATTTGTTCTTTTTTTCTGGGACTGGGACTTCCAGTTTTGCTGCAACTTGTGTAGTGCCCGGTTAGTGCAGCAGGAAAATGAGAAATCTCACACTCAKTTGAGAAACTGCCTATTTTCTACGGTGAGGAAAGCAACCACACAAGGTCTACTAGGGTGCAGGAGCTGGCAGCGGAGTTTGGAGCTGATCTCTTCTCGGAGCTAAGGATGCAGGGAGACTGCAAGAAAACTGAGTTCACGCTCTTGCTAACAGTAAAACCGAGCCAGAAAGTCTGCAATTTTGGCATGCTCTAGCAAGTGGTCAAGCTTAGAGTTTGTGCCCCCTTGGAAAGGGAGTCTCACCTAGCATGCAAGCACACAATTAAGCCAAAAGGAGCTTCACAATTAACAGATCTTGCTTGGTTTCACATCAGAAGTGATGCATGCAGGTTCTCCCACCCAGGCAACTCCCCTGAAGCTCATACTCTTACAGCTCCCAAGTGCTCTTCTTTTGCAGTGACAGTACCCAGTAAACTCTTCCTCCTCACTGCATCATGCAGTGAGGAACATCATGCAYTCAGTTCAATGACACTCCTGTGTAGAGGTATCTCCTCCCTTTCTTCAAACKACATGCCAAGGTGGTCCTAAGGCCCCCTTGCTGCAGCAAGGGCACAGGGATTCTGGTAAGACGGGCTGCATCCATGTTCYTAAAGAAAACCTTCACCCTTGCAACGGTGCACAGCCTGAAACAGCATCAGGGCTGCACCAGCAAGCTCACAGCATTTTCCTTTTGATTCTGTGAGTATTTCAGTGCCTCATATTCCTATTTCCAACCTTGCTATCTGCCAAGCTCCTTTGCTATCTATGAAGCTCCTCTGCACAAGGTGCATCTTGCAGCACCCGTTGCTTCTGTAACTGCACGCACAAAGTCATACAAAAAGTCAGGCTGCATTTGCTAAAATACAGGATGAGTAACTGCAATGCACTTTAATCTGCAACAAGGAGGACGCTGGCAAAGACCCATTTGGGAACAACTCCAATCAGGAGTCTGGGCTCGTGCAACCTTCCAAGCTCGGAGCTCCATGATCAAAGACCCAACCTTATATATTTTGCTGTCAGCACTAAAATTTCAGGAAAGGAAAAGCCAAAAGCTACTACACTGAGATACGTAAATGCTTTTTTCTTTCTATTTTAAATTCTGATTCAGGATCAAAATTCAGGACTCCAGACACATTTAGAAGTTACTTCAGCGCAACTGAAGCACGATTTAATAAAACATATACCAGAGCAGCATCTGCTTAGCTGCTGCTTTGAATTTCTTATTTAAGTGTGAACAGGAACACCCAGATTCTTTCAGGACAGTTCATACTGAACGGAGGGTGAATTTGCTTAACCTATTTCATGCTCTTGAAATTTCCAGATTTTCCAAGTGATGGCTGGGTAAGAGCTGTAAGATAACCATGCACTCGGCTCTGCTCTTATTTCCTATTCAGTCTATTYCTCTGTCTACTCCATTTCTGCATTTACAGTGCAAAACTAGTTATGCTAAAGCAAGTTAGAGACATACTGAGCACTATTCTTCTTCCCTATTTAATGCAACCATCTGGGAGAGAAAAAMACAAAAACAGAAAAACAAGTGGCTGAGCCCTATCAGATGCCCTGGAAATAGCAGAAATCCAGCAGCATTTGGGAACTCCACATGTGGAGTAAACCTTTGGAGCTATCAATTCTGTCTGTGCCTTCAAGGAAAGGGGCGTAAGGGAAGATTTCTCTGGGTCGGCTCCATCTGCACACCAAAAGGTGTTTCTAACACAATATTCTGCTCTGAAAGAGCCATGTTTCTGTTATTTCTTGGCCTCTTTTTCTCCCAGAACTCAGCAAGCATCTTTACAAGCAGCCCTGCAGCCCCCCGACATAAGGCATCACGTTCCATCTGCAATGCAGGCAGAGACCAAGGGAAGTTCAAGCACCCAAAACGTTATTTTCCTTGAAACACAGGGCTGAAAGTCACAACCGCAATATGAGAGAAAAGGTAAATGTTAAATCTGTGCGAGACTGCTTGTTATTGAGGCAAAAAAAGGCAATATAGCAGGGAGAACAGGCCACACAATTCCTCTGACCCAGTCCCAAATATCTCTTATAGAGCACRCTGAACACTTCTCCCCCAAAACACAAGTCACATAATTCCTGATATTACACAGTCATCTTTTTTCCCCCCTTTTCTTCCTTGTTTTACTGCTTTGTTATGCATCACTTTTATCGAAGTAATAAGCAAGTATCTCCTTTTATGCCTCCTCCTCATTCACTGCACCTTCCAACTAGCCGGACTCAGCCCTCGCGCCGCTCCGGCTGCGGCAGGGCCAGGAGCAGCAATAAATCCCTGGCTCGGAGCCGTCCCCGGCCACTGCATTACCTCCCCTGCAAGTTGCACTGCGCAGCGGCAGCTTTTTATTCCCTTTCTGCTAATGCAATTTGCTGCTTTGTTTATGCAGCAGTTTTATGGCTCCATTTGCCTGCGTGAGCGCCCTTATTGGCATGTTGATACGCATGCAGCAGCGGCGCGTTGCAAGCAACGGGCTTCTGAAAAATCACTCCTTATCTCAGTGACCAGTCCCGATGAAAGATTCCTGCTTCCCGGCACTCATTTGTTATATTCAGTCTTGCAGGCCAGGTAAATTAATTGGAGTATCCTCAGAAAAAAAAAAAAAAAAAAAAAAAAAAAAAAAAA